AAAAAAACTCTATAAGGCAGTTCAATACCATTTCTTTATAAGGTGGTTTGATACCATTGTTATATTATCTATTTTGGTGACTTGTTTGAGGCACTCTGTCTTATTACCTTGTGTAAGATGAAATTGTTTATCCTAGACATTGTGGTGTCCTGTTTTTCTTGAGATGATGACTGCATATTGGTGTATTCTTAGGAACTCACCACCTGTTTCTTGGTGAATGTGGTAGGGACTAGAAGTGTGAATGCAGTTAGTTCTTTGTTCACTGTTTGTGTAGTGTAGTTTGGGCTGGGATCACTCACTTCCAGAAGCAAGGACACTTTCCCTGGCACCAGACCTCAGGTAAAACAGAAACTGTTCTGAAGCAGGTGACACTGGCAGCTGGGTTGGCAAGAGTGGACACTGACCACGCTCACATCTACCAGGAGGGCATGGGAACAAGGGAGAACTAACTGTACTTCCTTGTTACCAACATCCAAGCATGTCCTGTGCTCACAGATCACTATCTAAAGATGCTCACAAAATTTTAAGATGGCCATGCTGCTCCATGCACCTTTTCTATCACTGATTCTGATGATCTTCTTCCCGTTAGTGCTCAACTCCATCTCTGTCCTATCCTATGATCCTCAGGGTTTCAGGATCCCCATCTGTATCTGTTTCACTTGTTCTCCCATGTCTTTGTTGCAGACAGTTGGCTCAGTGGGTCTCCTTACTCTGCCATCTTGACCCAGATTTCACAGCTAGTCTTTTCTATGCATTTGAGTTTTGTTCTACATTTCTTCTCCCATTCCACCTGGGACCTTCTATTGTGTCCCTGAACAAAATAGTCAGTAGTAATAGGTGGGTACCATCTCATTCTTCTAGTTTCAGACTAGAGGAGGCTATGGTTCATGTGGAACATTAATTTGTCCTATGAACGAATTGCTTTTTTAATTCTTTGGTTTTCTTTATTCTCCTTTGCTCCAGGCAGGGAAGACCAATAGTTATAGCTTAGATGGCTATTAGCAAGCTTTTAAAATCCCAGATGCTGCTCACCAAACTAGGATAAAGAACCTTATTTTTATGAGCTATGTTATTCCATGGCACCTACCATCAACAACATCAATGTTATTCCAATTGATGTAGATGTCCCCCAAGACTATGGTCCTTTGCCTTCAAGCTCAGTAATTCAGAGTGCTTAGATATGTCTCAGAAACGTTCATTATTATGCTCCCTATGTATGTTTTAAAATTGGGAAAGGTGTGTAACAAGGTTGTGTTCTTTCACCATACTTATTCAACCTGTAAGCTGAGCAAATAATACAAGAAGCTGGGTTCTATGAAGAAAAACGTGGCATCAGGATTGGAGGA